AGTTGTACCAAAATAAACACCAGAAATAAAAACAGTACCCCGTTGCTAGCGAGAGGGTGGAATGTAAGCTCATTATGTTGACTATGGGAGAAATTCTATTAAATATAAAATAAAATATCTTATAAGAATTTCTAAAAGGAAAATTGGATTGACAGCAGGAGGTATTAGCGACCATAAGCTTTTCAAAATCTATGACGGCGACGTCAACCGAAAGTGTAAATAACTTCACTTTAGAGTTTAGTGCCCTCAATGTCTGTTGTCCCTGTGGATGAGTTTAGTTTTGCTGACAATGTTTTGAATGAAATCTCGAATGAACAGAACCCCAAAGAGAAAATTATTTACACTTCCGGTTGACGTGGCCGTCGTAGATTTTGAAAAGCTTAAGGTCGCTATTACTAAACTTAGACCGTCGAAAGTTTTAATGAAAACAAGCCGACACGAGTGAACAAAAAACATGAAAAGTGCTCCATACAGACCTTCTTTCACCCATTATTGTCTCGATTCGACTTTGCTTCTCGCGAACCAAATGTCGAAGCCTATTAATTTCATGCTCGTAATCTTCTTTCATTTTGTTAACTTCTTTTTCCTTGTCATTCAACCTTTTTAAAAAGAAATAATAAGTGTGTTAGGAGGAAAAACCCCAGCCCATTGAAATAAGTGGGAAAAACTAAATAAGGCACTAAAAGACTAACAGCAGATGATTGAGGTGTCAACCAAAAGAATAGTTTTGTTATTTAAACTGTTACAATTTATTATGTAATATGGCTGTGTATATTTGTGTATGTGGTGTTTTTCCCTTCTTTTTCTTGCTGTAAAAATTGTTACATAGAGGATATTACATGGGCGCGCAGAGATACGAAATTTATCTTCGAGTGTTGAAAAGATCTCTCACGAGTGCAGCGAACGAGTGAGAGATTTTCAAGACGAGAAGAAAAAATTGTATCTCCAAGCGCCTATGTAATATTCTGTTTATTATATAATTATCCATAAAATCAACTTAACAAGCTTTTTATTATTAGAAAAAGTTTTTATTTATAAACTAATAGCTTAAATACACATGGAAACGATATTTTCACATTTCACATGTGAAAATATCAGTTTTTCGAAAAGGAGAAATATAGGTATTTTATGGATAATTATATGATAATATATTATATATCCAGAAAAATGTTAAATGCCTGTAATACTTAGTTTATTTTTCAATAACGATGTTTAAAAAAATAGAATGTATTAATCAACAATTTTGAATGGATCGAAGCGGCACCACTCACGTACCCAAAACTCCTTCGGTTTCGGTCCTCAACCTGTTCGGGGAAGAAACAAAACCGAGGAGCTCTGGCTATGAGAAAGAAGGCGCGACAATTTCCACTAAGAGAGCATAAATAAGAGAGGAAAATTTCTTAATATCGAGCGCGCCATGTTAATTCCCGATTGGGCTATTTTTAGAAACCTTATGCAGTTTAAATTTAACCCTACCCTTCTCCTATACCCCAACTAGCACGCGCGCGCTCTGTCCTTTTGTTGTTTTGATAACAGGAAGCGAGAAGTTTTTATCGTTTTTAGTGATCAAAGCGACAACGTAAAGAGCGTGCGTACGCTAGATGACGCACGGGATAAGCGTAAGGTGAAATGTTTTTAAAAATAGCCCAACCGGCAAATCACATGGAATTCTGGTGCAAAAAGAGGGATTGACTGAAAGTAGTTGAGATCGATAACCATCTACCTACCTCCCCGTCATGGATGCCACTTTGTGATTAAGTTTTTTCTTGTTGTGCTGAAGACGAAATTAAATATCTGAAAGTTACAGTCAAGCTATATGTCTGGAATGTTAAACATAGTATTCTATGTTCACATCCCCAGTGCTCTATTCCACCTGTAGAATCTTGCTTTTATTATAGAGGAAAACATATAAACATCACTATCACTGGCTATAGCCGAAACGTCATGTTCTCAAAAAATCTTACATTTAATCATAGTTAACTATGATTTAATACAAAAACACTTTGTTTCTATTTCTTCATTTTAGTTTATTCATTCTTGTAGGAGCATTGAGACTTTGTAGAATGCTCCTAATAAAGTATTTTATCATGATTATTATCAAGTATCATTATCATTAAAAAGGTCGAAGCAATAAAAGCTCGAGGCCGTAGGCTGAGTGCTTTCACCTGTTTCTCGGTGTTTGGATGCCCTGATCAAACACTCGCACTCGTTTTTTTGGCTACTGCCTCATAGAGACGCGAAGGCACTATGCTATCGAGTCGTGTAAGTAAGTCCGTCAGTAACACCACAGGAAGCCCAAACTGATGAATGGATAAACTTCGGAACCAATCATGAAACTTCGGAGCCAATCAGGGATAAGCGACTCACGTTCTTCAATATCGATAAACTACGGAACCAATCATAGCTTGAATAACAAAATCTCGGTATTTCCGAATTGTAACCGATGTAGGGATGACGCATTTTTAACTCGTGGATACGCGAAGAGTAGAAACGAGTTATTGTGAGGGGTCTGAATATGCAAATGTGTCACTCACTCACTCACTCACTAAGATGTTAGCAGATCGATAATTAAACGTTTGTCGATCGTCTTACGTCATCCGATTACGAATGTTACACGACACTAACAAGCACAAAGCTCTTATACCGTATAGATTACTTTGATATTTATATGAGGAAACGAGATGCTGATGTTCCATGTGGGATCAGTTTCTATCACTTGTAGACGCCGTGGGGGCCCACTGTGCATGCGCACACTCGCACATAGTTTTATCTTCGAATTATTCATATTAAAAGAATCAAAGAAAGATGCAAGTTGAAGTAAAATTATACAATTAACGCCTGAAATAAAATTTCAATGAGTTAGACCTTTTTTTCTGATGTATTTTAAAAAAGTAAACAAAAACGCTTATTAGGTACAGCGTCAACATTTCGATTTCAGACTGAGACTCGTAGATCGAGCCGGTTATCGAAAAAATTAATTAGAACTCAAGAAGAGAGTCTGATTTCAAGCTCTGGAGGACTTTATTCTCCATAGGGACATCTCTTCGGAGGATGATCGAGCCTCTTCGGAGGATAATTAACCCTCTTTTGAGCATAATTGTGCCCTATTGTGGGATTAGTCAGCCCGTTGAAGAAGTCCTTCGGGTAAATGAAAACTCAGCTGTTTTACAGAGATCACATGTTTGTTGTGACACTGAGTCTTTCTTTATCCAAGAAACTATTATGGAAGCTGTGGTAAATGACTATGGAAGTTGTCTTAAAACTATTCTCGGTCAGTGTGACTTACATCTCGATAATGTCAGTAGTCCAACGTACAACGTTAACCTTTATAGATTTTCTGTTAGAACTATTAAAATCAGGGTGTTTTCATCTAAGTGCCCCTTTAAACAATCCGTTTCTAAATTGGCAGTAGACACATGCGGTTTACGACCGCCTATTTTTGATCTATTACGTGAAAAGGATGGTTAAACACAAACGATTCACAAAAAAGTTTGGTAAATCCTACTTAACAATGAAATTATAGAAGTGACAAGTTCCTCATTTAGTTCCTTCAAATTTTCTGATTATATTACTATACATTTTAAAACTGAGAACAAGGGAGTAGCGAAGATGTGAGAGGAAGGGGGCGACCGCTCCCCTAAAAAAATTGACTGAGAATTGTAAGCATTCCTTTTTACGATATTATTATTGCTTTTAGAGCACGAGTCATCATTCTTTTGAGAATAAGTTGTATTACAAAGAAATGATATTCTACGGCATGTGGTCTGTAATGGGAAAACATCACATAGAATGCGGAACTGTAGAAATTATCTGTTATGGTATTTACCTTTAGTTTTTCCTGTAAGCCTAGGATATCGAGGTCTCCTTGATGGATCAGTGATTTGGACTTTTTTCGTTGGAGTTCTTGCGACTTGGCCTGAAATTTGAAAACAACTTAAAATATCTATATTTTATAACCCCTAACTCAATATTTTCAGTACTGATTGTACATGAAGTGAATAGTTGAATGGTGAAATATTTGTGTACATATTATTTGAGTGATGCATATTGGAGACTATCAAGGTTTATACTTTCAATACGTGAATGAGATTGATGTCATTATTGACATATAAAAATATTTTACCATTCAACTACAGTATTTACTTGATGAAGTAGAATCGATACTGAAAATATAGGGGTTGTAGGCACTTCAAATTATGATCCAGAATTCGGAATTCACACAAGCAAAACTGCTAAATGCTAGCCTCCTCTGCAGGCATCTCCTTGGCTCTTTTTGCTCTTGGGCTTCCTGGCAAGGACAAGAAAGACGAAGGGAGAGGGGAGGGGAGGGAGAAAGAAGAAGAGGAGATGCCTACTCCTCTCGCTTTTTCTCTCCCTCCCTCGTCCCCACCCGTCCTTCTCTCTCGTCCCTAGCTCTTCTCTGCCATAAAATTTAACACAGGGATCCCAATAGGCTAGCTAAATGCTTGTTGATTTGCCTTTTCATTTGCGGGGAGAAAATGTATCGGGTGATAGCATTTTTTTGCGAGTTGACCTTATCTCTGACAACTTTCTTCTGACATGCTTTTCTGTTCTCAATTAGTTTTGTTTTTCCCTACCTCGTCATGTCTATCGCAGTTTACCAACAAAAGGAGGAAACGAGATATTTTTATCGTAACCTTCAAACTCACAAGCGTTTTTAGCTGATTTTAAAACGATTTTTTTACTCTTAAAAATGAGTGGGACAATACTTTTTTCATCACCATCCCACCTTTGTCTTATTTTATTGTTATTATTATCATTATTATTATTAGTTGCTGTCAATAGATTGATACTTATTATT